TGCAAGAGGAAGTATACATGACTCAACCACCTGGATTTGTTGATTTAAAGCATGAAGATTATGTCTACAGGTTACATAAATCGTTATATGGATTAAAACAGGCACCAAGGGCCTAGAATGAGAGATTTACTCGATTTCTACTATCCTTGGGATTCAAATCCACATATGCAGATTCTTCACTATTTGTAAAAGTTGTTGACAGCTCTATGGTGATTTTACTCTTATATATGGATGACATTATTATTACTGGCAGTGGCTACACAAGCAATTACTGAGGTCATTCATTCCCTTACACGAGAGTTTGATATCAAAGATTTGGGACCCCTCCACTATTTCCTGAGGATTCAGATTTTGCAGAAGAATGATGGTTTATTTCTCTCTCAACAGAAGTATGTTACAGATTTGCTAACTAAGGCTGATATGCTACTGTCTAAACCATGTGCAACTCCATGTTTTCCATACAATAGGTTGCTCAAAGATGATGGCAAACCTTATAATAATCATGCCCTTTATCAGAGTTTAGTTGGCGCGTTACAGTACTTAACATTCACTCAACCTAACATTGCTTTTGCAATGCATCAGGTTTGTCAGTTTATGCAAAATCCTATGGAGTCACATTTCATGGCAGTGAAACGAATTCTTAGGTACTTAAAAGCTACTCAAGGTTGTGGCGTTCATTATGTCAAGAGTTCACTGGATATTACTGCATATAGTGATGCAGATTGGGCTGGGGATCCTAATGATAGGAGATCGACTACTGGAATGGTTGTATTTTTGGGATCTAATCCTATTTCATGGTCATCTAAGAAGCAACAAACTGTTTCTCACTCATCCACAGAAGCTGAGTATCGAGCTTTATCTACTACAACTACTGAACTTGATTGGATTTAACAATTGTTACATTTTCTGCAGGTTCCAGTTGTCGAAAAGCCAATTCTCTTCTGTGACAACTTATCTGCTATAGCATTGACCTTAAATCCTATTCAGCATCAACGTACAAAACACATAGAGGTTGATGTGCATTTTGTTCGCGAGCGAGTAGCAAAACAGCAACTGCAGGTGCATTTTGTCTCTTCCATCGAGCAGTTTGCTGATATACTTACCAAAGGCTTATCTACTCCTCTCTTTCAGACTCATTGTGCCAATCTCAGGCTCACATACTCTGCCCCTGAGCTTGTGGGGGGGATGTTAGGAGTATTAAGATCCAATGGGTAGGAAATGGACAAGTGTCAAAAGATCATGAAGATAGTTAAGCTGGTTATATTGTTACGTAGAGTGTAAGCTACAAAGTGTTAGAATATATAGCTTGTAACAATTCATTGTAACTAATAAGAAAAGAAACAACAGTTGTCAATAGTTTTCTCTCTCTAATATCTTCGATATTCTTCTTCTCTCTCTATCTCTTTCTTCCTTCTTGCTTCTGTATAATTCTTTCCTTCAATAACCTCAGATGGTTTACAGGCTGCACAAGGTAGAAAAGAGGCAAAAGACCCAGCAAGCTGCACAAGGTAGAAAAGAAGCAAAAGATCGAGCAAATTTTAATTTCGACAAGAAGCCATCTTTAAAGACTCCATCACCTTTTGAAAAGCAAATGTCAAAGATTTACACCTTGAAATTTATAAAAAATTTCAAGTAGAGGTTTTGGGAGTATCAGCATGTTATTCTAAAAAAGAAAAGCAGGAATGGATGGTCATGGCTTACAAAAGTTCAAAATTTTGAAAAGAAAAAAGATATGATGGTAGAGTTCGATAGAAGAGTGAACAGTATTTGTCGTTTATGTGGTAAGTTTGAATATAGTGGCTACCTTTGTAGGCATGGAATGGCTGTAATGCAAGGTTTTGGAGTATTTAATATACCAAATCGTTACATATTAAAACGGTGGACGGAAGATGCAAAAGATGGGCAGAAGAGTATAACTTTGTAAAACAATTCTAATCTTAAGAGGCAGCGTTTCAATGAATTGTTTGAGAAAGCCATGAAGCGTGATGAGGGCTCTCTATGTGATCAAAGCTATGATATTGCAAATGGTGCATTGGAGCAAGCTTTGAAACAGTGTATAAGGACGAATCATTCTCCTAGTGGTTCTAAAGAACCTAATAGTGGTGGCAAAGAGAATGCCAATAGTAATGTGTTGGATCCAAAAGTCTCAAGTACAAAAAGAGCTCCTAAAAGAAGCCTAGAATTGAAAAAAAGCAACAAAAGAAGTTAAAATAAAAAAAATAAGGTATGCCAAAGGATTTTACAGGTCTTTTTATTCTCTTAATACGAAACTTAATAGTTGTACTGTGTTGCAAATTATAGATAATTCAATAGTATGCCTCTTAAATTTGAGCCATATTGTGAGGCTAAGTCCAACCCCCTCCCCTTTAGTATAGATAATATCATTTATTCACAAATTAAAAAAAAAATTAGTATGCCTCTTATTATTTTTTTCTTATATGTTATAAGGGCAAGTAGATTCTAAGACATGAAACTGCTGGTAGCTATAACAACACTCGAGAATGCTTGAAATGATGTTTGTGTTTTATTTTGTGGCATAATTGCGAATTTTGTATATATGTATAATTATAGATTTTAATCGAGTTCAATTTTTATACGAGAAGCAACTTTCAAATTTTCTCTTGTAGTGTCTAGGAATGCACTGTTTTTCTTGAGGTGGGCGTAAAACCTAACGTGAAAATAAGAGTAGATGGGAAAAAATAAAATAAAAAAGAGAGTTAAAAAAAACTTGTATAAACAATAATATTAATAATAAAATAATTAGATTTGTCAAATTAGATGGATTGTTTAATGATTTACTTGTATTGTGTCCTCCCCTTTAGTATAGATAATATCGTTTATTCAAAAATAAAAAATAAAAAAATTAGTATGCCTCTTATTATTTTTTTTTCTTATATGTTATAAGGGCAAGTAAATTCCAGACATGAAACTGTTGGTAGCTATAACAACACTCGAGAATGCTTGAAATGATGTTTGTGTTTTATTTTGTGGCATAATTGCGAATTTTGTATATATGTATAATTATAGATTTTAATCGAGTTCAATTTTTATATGAGAAGCAACTTTCAAATTTTCTCTTGTAGTGTCTAGGAATGCACTGTTTTTCTTGAGGTGGGCGTAAAACCAAACGTGAAAATAAGAGTAGATGAGAAAAAATAAAATAAAAAAGAGAGTTAAAAAAAACTTGTATAAACAATAATATTAATAATAAAATAATTAGATTTGTCAAATTAGATGGATTGTTTAATGATTTACTTGTATTGTGTCCTCCCCTTTAGTATAGATAATATCGTTTATTCAAAAATAAAAAATAAAAAAAATTAGTATGCCTCTTATTATTTTTTTCCTTATATGTTATAAGGGCAAGTAGATTCCAGACATGAAACTGTTGGTAGCTATAACAACACTCGAGAATGCTTGAAATGATGTTTGTGTTTTATTTTGTGGCATAATTGCGAATTTTGTATATATGTATAATGATAGATTTTAATCGAGTTCAATTTTTAATATGCGAAGCAACTTTCAAATTTTCTCTTGTAGTGTCTAGGAATGCACTGTTTTTCTTGAGGTGGGCGTAAAACCAAACGTGAAAATAAGAGTAGATGGGAAAAAATAAAATAAAAAAGAGAGTTAAAAAAAACTTGTATAAACAATAATATTAATAATAAAATAATTGGATTTGTCAAATTAGATGGATTGTTTAATTATTTACTTGTATTGTGGAAATGCGTTAATTATAGATGAGGGGATAAATGGGTTCCCCCATGGGCGAACACAAGCATTATCCTAAAAAAATGGGATAATGCTTGTGTCCCCCCATTGTGGGAACTTACTTGTCCGCCCACTTACAATTAACGAACCTTTACAGTTTGAACATCATAATTAGAATTATTTATTCTCTTTATCATCCTCTAATGATCATATATGCGAAAAATCATTCAATTTAGAGATTGTTTAGTTATCCATACATGTTCAACCAATCAACGATTTTTGTAATAAGTAGCATCTCATGATGGACCGTCCATTTTTCTTTGCATATGAATGGCTAAAAGATCTCCAAATTGAATAATTTTTTGCATATGATCTTTAGAAGATGATAAAGAGAATGAACGGTTCCAATCATGATGTTCGGAACGTTAAGGTTCGTTAATCCAAAGTGTAAGGACAAGTAAGGGCTGGTTTGGTATTGCTGTGCTTTGAAAAAAAGCTGCTGTGAGAATAAGCGGCTGTGCTGTGAGAATAAGCGGCTGTGAAATAAATCAGCAGAGCGTTTGGTAAACTTTTTTGCAAAAAAGCTTTTGGAAAAAAAAGTAGTCTGATAGTGGGTCCTTTCATTAAAGGAGCACTGTAGCTCCATGTGCTTTGAAAAAAAACCAGTTTTCCAAAGCTACAAATAGCAGCTTCAGCTTTTTCCTTTGATTTCAGCTTATTCTCACAGCAGCTTCCAAAATAAGCCATTTTTTTTCAGTTTACCAAACACCTAAAACCCTCACAGCTTTTTTTCATATGTGCTTTTTTTTTAAGCACCTCACTCCCAAACTAGGTCTAAGTTGCCCCAATGAGGGGAAGCATTATCCCAAAAAACACTATATATGTTTGCATGCATCACTAAAACCTTGAAAACCATGCCTCGCTTGGTCGCTCCAACATGAAGCAAATACTTAATCTCGTTTATGAGGTTAAGCCCCTCTTGGTCAAAACTCTTACCATAGAACCTATTAGTATCAAAACAAATCGGCAAACAAACAAAAGCAATGCATGACAGACGATCAGAATAAAGGAAAAAGTATATACTCTCGACTGCCGTCCCAAAGATTCTTAGGATTAACGAACATCAAGCTTCATTGGCGTGAATTGTCATATGTACAGTGCCTAATTTGTTGCACGTACGTGTTTGGTTTATAAGTTTATATAAAATGTCGAGATTCCCTGTCCTCTACGATGTATCCTATAAAGCTGGTGTATTGTAAAAGACTTTTCCCCCTTCCATATCTCATTTTCGTTAGGTTTCTTATAGAGAGAGAGAGAGAGAGAGAGAGAGAGAGAGAGAGAGAGAATGGACTCAAATGGTTTGAAAGAGAAGCCACATGCAGTTTGCATACCATTCCCAGCTCAAGGTCACATAACCCCCATGCTGCAGTTAGCCAAACTCCTCAACTACAAAGGTTTTCACATAACCTTTGTCAACACAGAGTTCAACCACAAACGCCTGCTTAGGTCCCGAGGTCCCGACTCTCTTGACGGTCTTCCCTCCTTTAGGTTCGAAACCATTCCCGATGGCCTCCCTCCAACTGATGTCAATGCCACTCAAGACATATCCACTCTATGCCTTTCGATTAGAAAAACTTGCCTAGCACCCTTCAGAGACCTTATTTCCAAACTCAATTCTTTGCCAAACTCCCCCCCTGTAACTTGCATAGTTTCTGACGTTGGCATGACCTTGACTCTTGATGCAGCCCAAGAATTGGGCATCCCGGATGTTATGTTCCAGACAGCAAGTGCTTGTGGCTTGATGTGCTGCCTTCAGTATCGCCCTCTCATTGAAAAGGGTTTTATTCCCCTTAAAGGTACTATTAATTATAAATCAAAACGAGGATATAGTGAGTTTGACAAAACAAAACTATCTACCTTGAGGGTTCTTTTGATAACCATTTTATTTCTACTTTGTAGTTTGTAGTTTTCATTTTCATGTTACAGATAGAAGGAAAATGCATGAAAGAAATAAAAGGAGGAGGGCTCTCTCCCCTCCTAGTCTCTCTCTTCTCTTCCCTCCTACTTGAACGGCTACGATTAAACAAGTCAACATTTCATTTTTTTTTTATAGACACAATAAGACTACAAGTCAAGTGTGAGACGAGGGGGAGGGAAGAGGATGCGAATAGAAGGGGAGAGAATCCTAGTCCGAAATAAAATGTCTAAAAAAGTACTTTTAAGTTGTTTTTACTTTCCAAATTTTGTTTTCATTCCTTCTTTTGTTTGTACCTTCCCACCACCCTTCCTCAACACGCACTTTCTCTCATATACTTTCTTCATATTTCAAAATCAAAAAGTGAAAACTAAAATCCAAGTACAAAATGGTCATTAAACAGGCCTTAAATTTTTTTACGCTCGTGGTTGCCTAACAAGATCATAAAGCCTTCTATTGCATGAGGACCTATGTACATCCATGCCCAACAAGGTGGGTTGTATTTATTTGTTTGTCTCTCTCCTATCATCTTATGTACCTCCATTCAGCGCATGAGAGAGGGTAAGCATGATGTTGAATGCTGGCTCATTCCCCAACAACTTAAACTTGCAAGGCTAGAAGTTGTCTAAGAAATGAGTCTAATTTCGGAGACATGTTACCTTTCTAATTAGAACTTTCACTTTTTTTGGTGCTAATACTACCTGCAGATGCAAACTATTTGGACACTGTGTTAGACTGGATACCGGGCATGAAAAATATTAGATTGGGGGATGTGCCGAGCTTCTTGAGAACCAAAGATCCAAATGACATAATGCTTGATGTTCTGATGGTTGAGCTTGAACGAGCTCAAAGAAGGGCATCTGCTATAATTTTAAACACGTTCGATGCATTGGAGCATGATGTTGTAGATGCACTTTTAACTTTGCTACCACCCGTTTACTCAATAGGACCCCTATATCTACAACTCAATCAGATCCCAGCAGATAACAAGCTGAATTTAATTGGATCAAACCTATGGACAAACGAATCAGAGTGTCTTGAATGGCTTGACTCTAAAGAACCCAACTCGGTCGTTTATGTCAATTTCGGAAGCATCACAGTCATGACAGCAGAGCAGCTAACTGAGTTTGCTTGGGGACTTGCAAACAGCAATATGACCTTTCTGTGGGTGATTAGGCCTGACCTTGTTGGTGGGGATTCATCTGTGGTTCCTGCAGAGTTTTTCGTACAGACCAAAGAAAGGAGTTTATTAGCAAGTTGGTGTCCTCAAGAACAAGTTTTGAACCACCCGGCTATAGGAGGGTTTTTAACACACTGCGGATGGAACTCAACTCTTGAAAGCTTGTGTGGTGGAGTGCCCATGATCATTTGGCCCTTTTTCGCAGAGCAACAAACCAATTGTAGGTTCTGTTGCAAAGAGTGGGGCGTCGGCATGGAGATCGAGGGTGAAGTTAAAAGAGATTACGTAGAGGGACTTGTGAGAAAGTTGATGGAGGGAGAGGAGGGCAAAGTGATGAGGAAGAAAGCCTTGGAATGGAAGAAGTTAGCAAAAGAGGCCACCACTGGTCCCAATGGGTTATCTTTTTTGGACTTGGATAAAATAATTAACCAGGTGCTTCTATCTCGGAGGAATTAGAACTGATTAAAAATCTATGCTATATATATGAAGCACACTTTCTTAGAAATTTTCCAGTGTGACTCAATAATTGGTGTTTTATGAGAATAAACAATGATAATTTTAATCAGAATCTTGTTTAATGCCAATAGAATCGTTTATATTTCAGTCATTCATTAGAATGAGTCTTAAGACGAACAGTAGGATACAATTTAAGGGCCATCTATTGTTTTGGCCCAGGCACAACCCATGTTAAAATGCAATGAAATTTACTTTTTCGACAAATAAAAAAATAAAAAGCTTCAGGTAAGCGAAAGACATGAAACAGAGAGACAATACTTAGTAAAACTAACGAAAAACATTATATGGTTGTCCTTTTTTTTTTTTTTTTTTTTAACAAACGGTGGTGTTATTGAATTAAATTGTTAGTTGTTAGAGGAAGAGGAATAAGCATGATTGCTTTTTGCCTGCGATGAAACACCATCTGCGTACATACGTATTTTATCAAATGTTTTAAATGCACCACATTCTCTAAGTGCTTTTCTTTTGGTAAACTTTCTCCTTTAAGTGCTTGTGATGAACATATTGGGTACAAACCCAACACTATATCGAAATATGTATTGCACACTAAAGAAATCACACACTAAGAAAACTAAGCACCAATTAAAAAACACTAACTGCATTGTTTAATTATTATTTCATAAATATTAAAAAAAAAGGTATAATTAGAATCCCCTACAATTTTGAACAATTTTTAGATCAAACATTTGTTTCTTTTTAAGATTTGATTAAGACGCTTTAACCAACAGCCACGTCAGCATTTGTTGTTTATTTAAATTATATATCTTTTTAAGCTAAAACTCTAATTATTGGTTTCCAAATATGTCCTTTTAAGAGTTTTTTTCTTTATTTTTTTTATGTGGCCTCTTTTTTAGGGGAATATTTTCTGCTTGTTGATAGTTAAAAAAAACTCTTAAAAGGACATATTTGGAAACTGATAATTAGAGTTTTAGCTTAAAAAGATATATAATTTAAATAAACAACAAATGTTGATGTGGCTGTTAGTTAAAGCGTCTTAATCAAATCTTAAAAAGAAACAAATGTTTGATCTAAAAATTGTTAAAAACTTGTAGGGGATTCTAATTATAAATTTTCCTAAATGATTGTTTGAGAATGGAGTGCCAACTTGGTTCGTGTGCTACAAAAAACACAAACAATATTTGGTACATTCCAAACTCACATTGCACAAACAATATTTAGTACGATTTTAATTACAATAACAAACACGTTTGTTACGGTAATTACTTTACGTACCAAATGATTAGTACGTTCAAAACTAAATATTAGTTTAAGTACCAAATGGCTAGTACGTTCAAAACTAATATTATTTTATGTACCAAATGACCGGTACGTTCAAAATTAATATTACTTTACATACCAAATAAGTGGTACATTCAAAATTAACATCACTTTATGTACCAAATGACAGGTAGGTTCAAAATTAATATTATTTACGTACTAAATTAATGACTGGTACGTTTAAAATTAATATTACTTTATGTACCAAATGACTAGTACGTTCAAAATAAATATTACTTTAAGTACAAAATAAGTGTTACAGACTAAATTACCATTACGTATTGCGCAAAAAAACTACTACGTTACAAACTCGTTTTATATGTCGTACCAAATATATATACATACCAAAGTGTACATTAAACAACGTACGAAAGCACAAGGCAAAGCGTACCTCTATTATGCGCTCATGATTAAGCAATAGTTCAATTGCAGCTACAAATTAAGAAGGTTAGAAGAGGAGTGGAAGACCTTTTTTTTCATAAGAAAAACAAAATCATGCACAAGGGACATAAGTTATCATGGAGGTGGAAAATTTTTCTGGTAGGAAATATTTATGATTAATATGTATTATGAAATTCAAATGCTTCTTATCTGTAGGGAGGATATGCATTATGCAATATTTGTTTTGATTCAAACTCTGAGATATAAGTTAGGCAAGAATTTAGGAAACTTTTTTTTTTTTTGTTATCGTGAAGAATTTAGGATTCTGGGCATCAGTGTTTTGCTTTGATAAAATCTATGGCAGGTTTTGTAATTTAAGTACTATAAAATGGGCACATAAAATCATGTGGCACCAAATTTGTAGGAAAATGTTTAATCAAATTTCTAAAATGAACAAATGTTTAGTCTAAAAAATTAAAAAATCAGGCGCCTATATTAAAACGTCCCCACCGAGGGAAATGAAAACTAGCACCAAATTTCTGAACATCCCCCGAACAAAATGCATCAACAAGGGAACATGAGATTGTGCAAGATAGAACCCTAGGTTAAAAGCAAAAAGCCAATCATTCCAAATTTTCAATCTAGGGTAAAAGCATTATGTAAATAACTAAATATCATGGGATATCAAACCAAAACTAAATAGCTGTATACTACGGCGGATCTACTAAGGGACCAAGGTGGTCCCAAGACCACCCGGAAGTCAGAATAAGTGGCTGTAAGGACCTCCGAGGACCACCCAAGTCTGGGTGTGTGAAGATAATGGCGGCTAGTGAAGAAGAACCAGGAGGCAGCCTGAGGAAGAAGAAGGAGAAAAATTGCTCTTTTTTTTCTTAACCCTCGACTAGATGGTGTCGCTTCATCTATTCATTTAATGAGTATTTGCAAGGCCATTTGTTTTTGGGCCTTGGCTTATAGAGATTTATCTATTCATTTACTGAGTATTTGTGAGGCTGTTAGTTTTTGGGCCCTAGCTTATAGAAACTAATGCCGCATCACTTTATTTATGTCTTTGCTTTTCTGTTTTTTGTTGAAATTATTTCCTTTTGGTTCTCTACCACCTTCCCTCATCCTCCTTCCCTTTTCTAGTCTAATTTTTCATTCCTAATCAATTCATCTTGGTGGTCTATGTGTTCTTCTCTTTAGTTCCTTTTTTTTTTTTTTTGTGTTTTCATTTTCATTTGTTTCCTTTATTTTCTAAGAGGATAATTCTACACTTATTTTACAATAAGAGAAGAAAAAAGTTTGAACCTAGGACATAGTGGGTTAAAGAGGAAAGCCCTAACCCACTTGAATTATTTGTTTTGTTTTAAACCAATAATAAAAGTAAAAGTAAAGACATTTAATTAGGTATAAAATGTTGAAATTGAAACCTTGTGATCCATTTTGAAAATGACCCCAAACTGTAGTATGTAGCACATAAATTGCATTTAGTCTTTGTAGCTTGATATGTTGCTTGTACGAAGATTATGAATGAAAAGTTTGTTGGTAGTTTATTGTCTAGTTTTTTAATAATATTTTCATCTAATTTTTTTAAAGCTTTTATATTGGGACCACCCAATGTTAAAATCCTGGATCCGCCACTGGCTGTAGTCCTATAACATTAACATTATTTAATTAATAATTAAAAGGTGATACTTGAGATTTTAGTACAGTTGAATCTTTTTTTTTTTTTTTTTGAGAGGGGGGTGGGGAACTGGGATTCATAGAAAAACCAGGGCACAAGGCCAAACAAGAACAGAAAGCCAAACGACCAACACCGAAATAGGAAAGCGCCTCCGCCAAGGACCAGTGTCACCCAACCACCAACAAAACCCCCCATTCCATTACAACGACATACATGGGAGGCCGTCATCATTCAAGATACCCACAAGAGAAGATGGGGGTCTCGCAACCCAGCCAAAGGCGCACATCTCCAGTGATATGTTCCTCGTGACAAAATTTGCCGCCATATTTGTTGATCTTGGGACCCAAGACCAAGAGCATGTTTGGAACGTCCTCCTAACCTCCCATACATGACTAAGAATTGGTAGGAGGTCCTAAGTACAGCTCAGAGATGGTGAGTTGAGGGAACGAATAATACCTTACTCATCCGACTCAATCACCACCTCATGAAAATGTAAATTTTTTGCAAGCAAGTAGCCCACCAAAATGGCCAAAGCCTCCGCCATAGATGCATTGGAAGTCGGCACCATCACACTTCGAATTGTAAGATAACCCGAGGTATTATCACAGATAACAACCCCGACCGAGCAACATTGGGTATCCCCTTTCTAGCAGGCATCAACATTGATCTTTACACAATTGACAAAGGGAGGTGATCACGGAGTAGACCGGGACAAACCTGGAGTGGAACTGGGCCTGCCAATCCCCAGCATCCGGATTGGGGCAAAGGCCGACTCAAAAGAGCTCATAGCAATAGCAATGGTCCTCAAAGTCCTGGAATGGGAAGGTTGGACAGATTTAAAGACTGTATTGCACCTAGCTCTCCAAATAAACCAACATGAAAAAGCCAACTGCGACAAAATACGATCCAGGTCCTCCTTATTCCTCTAAGCTAAACTGAAGACCGAGCAAATCTAATCAAACAGAGTGGTAATGGTGTCCCAATTAATTTGGAGATGCAGCAGACCCCCGTGCCATACCTGGGAAGCCCACGGGAAAAGAATGAGGATATGCTCAATGGTTTCATCTTTGTCAGTGCATATGGGGCATAAGGGAGATAAAACACACCGCAGCCTAAAAAGATTCCACTTGGTTGCGCAAGCATTGCGAATACCCCGCCACAAAAAACACCTCATCTTAAGGGCGGCCCTGCACCTCCAGATCCACCCCTACACCCGCGTATCAGTGTCACGAGATGAGGATGGGCGGTCATGCATAACAGGAGAATGAAGGTTATGACACTAGCGGTAACCAGATTTTGCCGAATAGATATCATTCTTCTCGAATAGCCAAATAAGCTTGCCTGGACTCAGAAGCGGCCCAGCATGAATACTATATAAATGGTATTGCACTCCTTCACCAAAACAACCTCTGAAACTAGAGCAAGATTCCAGCCTCTCGAAACTGGTTCAATAAACTTAGTTGCCATCATCTCCTTGTTGACATTCAAATTAAGGGGAAGGGTATGGTGCCCCGCAGGGATACTCAGGACCCATTTGTCAAACCAAAATCTGACCTTGTGCCTGCCCAAAATTTGCCATCTTTCACCCTTAAGAATG